CTGAGGTAAATAGAAAGGAACATAAACATTGCCTAATTAAGTGTAAAAATGTAATAAGAAAAGCCAAAGAGGAGTTTGAAGAACAGCTAGCCAAAAACTCAAAAGGTAATAACAAAATGTTTCTTAAGTACATCAGAAGCTGGAAGCCTGCTAAACAACCAGTGGGGCCCCTGGACGATCGAGATACAAAAGGAGCACTTAAAGACGATAAAGTAATTGTGGAGAAACTAAATGAATTCTTTGCTTCAGTCTTCATGGCTGAGGATGTTAGGGAGATTCCCAAACCTGAGCCGGCTTTTGTAGGTGACAAATCGGTGGAATTATCATAGATTGAGGTGTCACTAGAGGAGGTTTTGGAATTAATTGATAAATTTAATAGTAGGGGACCAGATAGCAAGTGTAAAAAATCGGGACGGGGTGAAGGGTAATAGGTGCCTATATAAGAAAAAGCCCCCCAACTTGGAACTGTCTCTATAAAATCGGGACATCTGGTCACCCTACTTAACTGTAACAAGTCACCGGGACCAGATGGCATTCACCCAAGAGTTCTGAAAGAACTCCAAATGTGAAATTGCGGAACTACTAACTACGGTTTGTAATCTGTCCTTTAAATCGGCTTCTGTACCCAATGACTGGAAGATAGCTAATGTGACGCCAATATTTAAAAAGGGCTCTAGAGGTGATCACAGTAATTACAGACCGGTAAGTCTAATGTCAGTACCGGGCAAATTAGTTGAAACAATAGTAAAGAATAAAATTGTCAGACACATAGAAGAACATAAATTGTTGGGCAAAAGTCAACATGGTTTCTGTAAAGGGAAACCATGTCTTACTAATGTATTAGAGTTCTTTGAAGAGGTCAACAAACATGTGGACAAGGGGGATCCAGTGGACATAGTGTACTTAGATTTCCAGAAAGCCTTTGACAAGGTCCCTCACCAAAGGCTCTTACATAAATTACGTTGTCATGGGATAAGAGGGAAGATCCTTTCGTGGATTGAGAACTGGTTAAATACAGGGAACAAAGGGTAGGAATAAATGGTAAATTTTCAGAATGGAGAGGGGTAACTAGTGGTGTTCTCCAAGGGTCAGTCCTAGGACCAATCCTATTCAACTTATTCATAAATGATCTGGAGAAAGGGGTTAAAAGTGAGGTGGCAAAGTTTGCAGATGATACTAAACTGCTCAAGATAGTTAAGACCAAAGCAGACTGTGAAGAACTTCAAAAAGATCTCATAAAACTAAGTGATTGGGCAACAAAATGGCAAATGAAATTTAATGTGGATAAATGTAAAGTATTGCACATTGGGAAAAATAACCCCAACTATACATACAATATGATGGGGGCTAATTTAGCTACAACGACTCAGGAAAAAGATCTTGGAGTCATCTTGGATAGTTCTCTGAAGATGTCCACGCAGTGTGCAGTGGCAGTCAAAAAAGCAAACAGGATGTTAGGAATTATTAAAAAGGGGATAGAGAATAAGACGGAAAATATCTTATTGCCCTTATATAAATCCATGGTATGCCCACATCTTGAATACTGCATACAGATGTGGTCTCCTCATCTCAAAAAAGATATACTGGCATTAGAAAAGGTTCAGAGAAGGGCAACTAAAATGATTAGGGGTTTGGAACGGATCCCATATGAGGAGAGATTAAAGAAGCTAGGACTTTTCAGCGTGGAAAAGAGGAGACTAAGGGGGGATATGATAGAGGTATATAAAATCATGAGTGATGTGGAGAAAGTGAATAAGGAAAAGTTATTTACTTGTTCCCATAATATAAGAACTAGGGGCCACCAAATGAAATTAATGGGCAGCAGATTTAAGACAAATAAAAGGAAGTTCTTCTTCACACAGCGCAGTCAACGTGTGGAACTCCTTGCCTGAGGAGGTTGTGAAGGCTAGGACTAAAACAGGGTTTAATAGAGAACTGGATAAATTCATGGAAGTTAAGTCCATTAATGGCTATTAGCCAGGATGGGTAAGGAATGGTGTTCCTAGCCTCTGTTTGTCAGAGGGTGGTGATGGACGGCAGGAGAGAGATCACTTGATCATTACCGGTTAGGTTCACTCCCTCTGGGGCACCTGGCATTGGCCACTGTCGGTAGACAGAATACTGGGCTGGATGGACCTTTGGTCTGACCCAGTATGACCATTCTTATGTTCTTATGAGTGAAGGAAGGTTATGGGGTGGTTGTCAGATGAAGGATGGTCTAGTGGTTAGATTTTTGCCTAGGACTTTGAAGACTTGGGTTGAAGTCCCTGCTATGCCACAGACTTCCTGTATTATCTTGGGTATGACACTTAGCTTCTCAGTTGTTCTGTTCTCCATCCTCAAAATGGGGATAATAGCACTTCCCTGCCTCATGGGGGTGCTGTGAGGGAAAATACATTAAAGATAGGGAGATACTCAGCTACAATGGTGATAGGGTGACCAGACAGGAAGTGTAAAAAATCGGGACAGGGATGGGAGGGTAATAGGTGCCTATATAAGAAAAAGCCCCCAAAATCAATAGTCCCTATAAAATCGGGACATCTGGTCACCCTAAATGGTGATATAAATACCTTAAGTATTCTAGTTTAAGAGCCCTTACCACCAGATGATAACCCTTACACTAAGGTGATCCTCCCTGTGCCAGTTAAATTAGCTTTATGGCCTTTCTATGCCAGCAGTGTGGCACAAAGATGCTGCACCCCACTGACTTCCTATAAAGTAACAATTATACACTTATAATTACTTTACATATGAACTGACAGGTAAATTTCCTTCAAATACAGGTTTATGTGAATGTTAAATATTTTTTCATAAAGTAAAAACACTTCATGTAGTTTCCCTTCTAATTCAGTTTCTTTGGGCATTCTGGGATTGTATAAATCGTTGTTTACAAATACCAATTGCTCAAAAGATTTTTCTAAAGTGAAATATTAATTAAAGACAGGCAAACACTCTTACTCCAAGGTCAGTGTAATGCCATGCTGATGCAAGCCTATTTTGTAAAAACCAACAACTGTTTAATCAAGTATACATAGAAAAGCAGCCAGGTTTTTAGACCTTTGACAGTGACGACCATGGAATGTTTTCATTTGTTACTGAGTGATGACTAACAGTTTTGCATGAGTAAGGGAGCCACTTTTAGTAAGGCAGGACAGGAAAATAAGGTGTGTTCTGTTCTTGTCTGGTTATACAGCTGTTCCCCTGTTCATTATCCAAAGATAAATTCTATTGTGTCTGCACAGTAGAGTAAAAACCTTTTCAACTGTAAGCTCCCTCTTTTCTGACCCTATAGTTCTGTTCACTAGCATTAATCACTCAGCAATGATCTTGGGGAGCCAACTCCGTGTTTATCTGAACATTTTGGATATTCCTGAAATATCTGGGAGAAATCAGGGACAGAAAATAACTGATACTTTTAAATATATATGTTTTGTTTAAATGATTATAAAACTTGAGGCCAAAATTTGCCTGGTCTTAAATTACAAGCTAAATTGCATGCAGTATTTATAGTGTTGTTAGGCCTGGTTAGTCTATAGGGTGCTCTAAATATCTGTCTAGGCAAGGTACACTGTTACAGCATGTACTAACTAAAGAGAAACCAAATGTATTTCCCTGAAGAATCAATTCAAAGTGAGAGAATATTTTTAATCCAATTTACATTTCACTGTATATACTTTTTGTTTGTTGTTCTTTTTTTGTATATTTTATGTCCTTTTATGTTAAGGTATGAATTTAAACAGATATAGTTATACCAGTAAAAGTCACCTTGTGGCCACTCTCATTCCAGTTTAAGGGCCTATTTTCAGTTAAGCATATATCTCTTCAGAAGGAGTTTAAGCTAAACCGATTAAAAAGCCATTCTTATTTTGGAATAAAAGTGTCCACACTAGGAATTAAACGAATATCGTTATACTGGTATAGTTATACCAGTACAGTATAACTGGCAAAACTTTCCAGTGTAGACAAGCCCTTAAGTTGGAGATCTAAAAATCACTGAATCCAGTTTCACTTTCAGGTTCTTACTGCTGCAGTACTTGTTTCAAATGTTGCAGTGGAATGTTTATTTCTTTTAAAACAACTGTTTTCACTGGAAATTTTATATTGGAAACACTTGTATTGGTTTTACATTTTATGAAAGCTTGTTTTTACATTATTTAAATGTTGGCCCAAATTAAAGTTGACAGTGTTCCTTCAGTGTCTGGTGCTGAGCGTGACACTAAGTGCTGCTATGTATTAATTTATGTCTGTCTAGACAACAAACCAGGCAAAATGTCTGTCCAAGCACTTATATTAAATAGCATAAAAAATTAAAGGATAGAAACCTGCATGCTTCAGGGTTTAATACAAATACTAATTGATGTTGGTTAGGTAGAAACTTCCCATGATTCCCATAAGTGTCCATTACAGGTTTCTTGCACTTTCCTCTGAAGCATCTAGAGCTTGCCACTGGAAGAGACATATATCAACGTAGATGGACCATTGGTCTTAGCCTGTGTGGTGATTCCTATGCCCTTAATGATGTAGTTTAATTTATAATAGATCATCAATATTGTCTTAACACTACAGGAAAAATAAAATGATCAGTGCATGCAGAGCTATATAATAGGAAAGCTGTGCCAAACAAATAATGAAGTATCAAAATGCGTAGTCTAAAAGCATAAGAACATATAGTGCGAAAGATCAAAATCATACAATGTGAAACAGTTGGAATGCTTCACAGAAATAGTTCTAGTTTTCAGTAATTTTTGGAGAAGCCTCATTTGTATAAAAATATAGAGTGAAACACTCCTGTTAGAATAGAATTATTCCTCCACATGGAATACTAATTAATTTACACCTCAGTGAGGATTCTTTGAGCTTCTACAAGCTGCACATGAAGGTAGTGTGGTAAAACTTGACTTCTGTTTGACCGGGTGGTTAAAAGTTAATGATTTCTAAGTAATCTAGTTTGGATAAAAGTTGTTCATGGTGATTCATACTAAACAGCTTAAACCAGCACATTAACAAGAATTTGAAAAACTGCTGCACACACACATTTTAAAACAACAAAAGAGTTGCTGATACTTTTATGAACAGTATTCTACAAACATTTTGCCTCAATTGCACCAAAATTAAAGAGGCTTGTGCCTGACAAATTCTGCACATTCATATTTTCCAGCTTTGGTGGTAATTTCAGAAATATTGCAAACGATATTTTTGCGAAGAGAAAATGACTGAGAAACTTCTGCAACTGAGAAGGTGGGATGAAAGAAAAACCCATCCGCTGGGAGCCATGGAATTGGCCTCGGGCTTGTTTTAAGAAAGGGAAGGAAAAATCAAAACAAACGGTGCCTGGCTGCCAGGAATGCACTGCCTGAGCTTTGGCACCGGCGACGCCTGAGAAGCGCACCGAGCAGTAAAGTGGCAAGGAGCTGGGCCTGGGGCTCCTTAGTCTGGATCTCCAGCAGCCGGGGCCCGTCGGGGGAAGAGTTTCAGGCCCTGGGTGGCTTTTTTTCCATAGCTGCGCAGCTGGAGCCTGGAAGGAGTCTGCCGCCATCCGAGAAGAGAGGCAAAGGGTAGAACAACTTGGGCAGGGGAAAGGCGGCTGCGGCCAACAGGAAGAAGGGAGGAGAGAGAAAGAAAAGAAAAGTGAAAGTCTCCAGCTAAGGAGCCCTGCCCTGGCTGCAGGGAAGGGCGGGAGTGCGGAGAGGCTGGAAGCAGAGGGACAGAGTCGAGTGGAGGGGAGAGTCCAAGGGACACGGGGGCCAGGGGAACGGGAGGAGGCGTGGATGGAGGAGATGAGACTGCAAGGGAGGGGAAAGGGAGAAATGGGCAACAGCGAGGAAGGCGAGCGAAAGAGGGGACCCAGCCGGGGTGTGAGGGGAGGGGGAGAGGCTGGGCAGAAAGCGGCGGGGCGCTGACTCCGGCGCTCAGAGACGTTCTCCCGCAAGGCTCCCCGGCCCTTGCCCCTTCCTCCCCCAAGCCTCTTGGCCGGTGGCGGCCGCCAGCTCAGGCCCGGCCGACCCTCCTGGGGGGGGGGGTACCCAGCCGTCACCAGGGCTCAGCGGGGAGGCGGCCCCGAGTGGAGCTGGCCGGGATTCGTGCGGAGGCAGCTCCCTCCCGCCGGGTCCCTGTAGAGGAAGCCGCCGGCTGGCCTGTGTGTGCGCTGGGAGCAGCTGGAGGCGAGGGGGAGCTCCCGCCCAGCTGGAAGGGGAGGGAGCCGCTCGGCAGCGCCAGCGCAGGCGGGAGGGGAGCAGGCTCGCGTCAGGGTGCGGGGCGGCTTGTTCTTCAGCCTCTCCCTGATGCCCGGCGTGACACGGGGAGAGCGCCCGGCCGAGCAGGCGGGAGACTGGACAGGGGGCGCTCGGGGGCTTCTCCTCTAGCAGCAGCCGACCCCCAGCTGAGAGGCAGCGCCTGGGGGTGTCCCCCTTTCGCGGGCGCCGGAGCTCCCCGGCCGGGGACTCGACGAATCGCCCCGGCATGGGCGCGGGGACGCAGCAGCTCCCCTGGCTCCAGGCGGGAGACCGGCGAAGGATGCTCTGATCCTGGCTTGGCTTCGGCCATCCTCGTGATTTTGGGGCTGGGGTTTGCCCCCTGCCCCCGCCCCGCCTGCAGAGGCAGCTGAAGTCGGGATGAGCTGGGCTCCCAGTGGCTCGCCCGGGGTGGAAACCCCTTGAGGCTGCCTTCGCCTCCCGTGCCTAGAGCCCCTCTCTGTCGTGCGCCCTCGCCAGCCTTGGCCGAAGTGAATGGCCCCCGGTGGGTGTGCACCGCCTCACTGGCTCTGCAAGGGGACAATGCTAGCTGGGGGGGTGCTGGCCGGCTTCTCCGTGCTCAGCCTCCTCACCTACGGCTACCTGTCCTGGGACACCCTTGGATCTAGCCTGGAGGAAACAGAGACCACAAGGGCCAAGCTTGGAGAGGAGCCAGAGGCCAGCGCACCCACCTCTCCGCCTCACATCGTTTTCATCCTGGCTGACGATCAGGGATTCAGAGATGTAGGGTACCACGGGTCAGAGATCAGGACACCAACTCTGGATAGGCTGGCAGCTGAAGGGGTTAAACTGGAGAATTACTATGTTCAGCCTATGTGCACGCCTTCCAGAAGCCAATTTATCACAGGAAAGTAAGTTTACTACTTAATTCTTCTCACCTTCTTAAACTTAATGCGATAACCTCTTCCTCTTAAAGGCAGCACAAGCTCTCCCGTGATGAAGGTAATTAGATGTAAACTGATCTTATTTTATTTTGGGGGAAAATAACCTGTTGATTCACTTGAAAGTTTAATACATTTTTTCCCTTGGACAAAATAGACTTTTCCAGATTAGTTTTATTTATTTTACAATTTTACTTGGAATAAAGACCTGCACTCTGTAATCTTGTCAGACAATAAGAAATCAGCTGAATTACCCACTTCTTAATATTGTAGGAATGGATTTTCCTTTATATACATATAAGTGTTAGTTGTCACTTAATATATTTTGGTATTATGCATTCAGTGATCATGTAGGTCAGTTATGTAACTTCCTTTGGGCAGATTGTACATGAGGTGACTTAAAGTCAAATTCTTTGTTGGTGAAGTAGAATGAATGTTCCAAGTTGTTTCCATATATATTGCAATGTGCAAATTGTTGCTCTTCTCACAGTGAACCTTTCCTTAAGTGAAGTCTTTCTGTGGTGTAATAGGAGGGTTCCATTGAATTTGAGCTATACACAAGCAGGGGGAATGTAGAATTTTGCAGGTATTTAAGCTGCAGTATCTCTCTTCTTACAATGTAATTGCCACTTTGAAAACAATTGTCTATAGTGTCAGCAGAAAAGCTGCCACATGCAAAAATGGGGCTACAGCTGTCTGTCTTTTGCTACCTGGTAGTTTTAAAAAAATCTGTTAGGTAAGTAATCAATATAACCAATTTAATAGTGATCTTGTTGGCACAACTGGAAATGAAAAAAAACCTTGATTTTTAACTAAAACAAGCAAGTGGCCTAAAGTCTTTCATTGCCATGTGAAAAAACTTGATTTGATATCTGCTCCCAATCTTCCATTTCCCAAACTTGCCAGGACAGGGTGTTCTGCAGGGAAACTCACCATCAAGGGTTCTCAAACTGTGGACCATATCCTAATAGTTTGTCTTGTAGACATCTACCCCCCGGCTCACAGTAACATAACATCCTTTTAGCAACTAAAGTAGAGTTTGTATAGAAAAGTAATATTGGGTTAATCTTTCTTGTGTTTTTAGCTGCCTTAGCTGTAATGTAGCAACTGGAAAGAAGGAGCAGAGCCAGCACTATCTGATCAGCCAGTTCTCTGTAGACCACCAGCAAGTCTTCTGCAGACCACAGTTGGGAAACTACTGCTTTAAGAGGGGAATCTCATGCTGCACAACAGTGACTCACCCAGTCATGTAAAGAATGGCATTGTTGTGTTCCAAAGAAATCAGGGTGCTGTGCAAGCCTTTTTGAGATTTGTGGCAGTTAGAGAAGGAGAAATTGGCGCATCATCAGGGCAAAAGGAAGAATAACTAAGGGGAGAAATAAATAACTTAGTTTATTTTACCCTTCCTTTAAAACATCTAATGCAAGTAACTATTTTTAGGTTAATGAAAAAAGCGAAAATAAAATGGGCACATTTTTGGGAATCCTACTCTTTTAATCAGGTTGCAAAAAGAGAGAGAACCTGAAAATCTGCCTCTTTAATTTTGGAACCTTTTGGGTGGCAGGGGAGGAAGAGATTTGCTTACACTTCATTCATTTCATTTTATTTACTTACAGACTGCTGGACTACCATTTTTTCTTTCTGCTTTACTTTCAGAAGAAGGAACAGTAAAAGGAAAAGACTGCTTTACACAAATGAGAAATAGGGGAAGGAAGTGGTTAGGAGAAGCTAGGTCTGGGCAAGATATTAACAATGTAGAGCCAGAAGAATATTGTCATCCCTCTTTTGTATAAAGATGGGTGCCAGAGGTGATATGTTATGATGCTGTCTGCATAGAGGTAAAATAAGGGCAAGGACTGGAATACATTAATGACAAAAGAAATAAACCAGTAAAAATTGCTCTCATAATTAAGTCCTTTGAAGTCCTCGAAGGGTTCTACTTTCCCTTTAAATTCTGTGCATAATGTCCCTTGATGTTGATGACTCAAGGTGAGATTGAAAGCCTGAGCCAGTGGGCTTAATGCCACAGGTGGTCTGCTCCCATGGTAGCTGCATTGGGGCCAAAGGAGGGAGATAAGGCAGTCAGCTTTCAGGAAGCAGGCTGCTTCTAGAGCTGCAGGTGCAGAACCAGGATTGCAACCATCCAGGGTGGATCTTAGAATTATAAAATTTTCTCTGACCTGCACTGCTCTTCAATTCAGCCCTGGAACTAACTTGATTCCTTCAAAAGGGCCCATTGCTAGTTTAGAAAACATTGCCTGTCAGATTGAAATTTCTAAAGATCTCTGTCTACTCTTGCTTTACTATTTGAGGTACTGCTAAGTTGAGTTGGACAGTGGCTTGTTTATGTTTGAGGTGTTGTCAAGTGGGTATAACTTTGCAGCAAATAAGTTGTGTAATAATAACAACAGTGTGATGCTGTTGTGAAAAAGGCTAATATCATTCCAGGCTGTGTTAACAGAATTGTTGGATGTAAGACATAAGAGGTAATTGCCCTGCTCTACTTGGCACTGGTGGGCCAATAGCTGGTACTGTGTCCAATTCTAGTCACCACACATTAGGAAAAATGTGGACAAATCAGAGAGTCCAGAGGAGAACAACAAAAATGATAAAAGGTTTAGAAACCTGACCTATGAAGAAAGGTTTAAAAAAAAAAGAAAACCTGGGCATGCTTAGTCTTGAGAAAAGAAGATTGAGGGGGGACCTAATAGTCTTCAAATATGTTAAGGGCTGTTATAAAGAGAAACTGATCAATTGTTCTCCATGTCCACTGAAGGCAGGACAAGAAGTAATGGACTTAATCTACAGCAATTAGGTATTAATAAAAACTTTCTAACTATAAGGGTAGTTAAGTTCCGGACTAGACTTTCAAGGGAGGTTGTGGAATCCCCATCATTGGAGGTTTTGAATAACAGGTTGGACAAACTCCTATCAGGGATGGTCTAGGTATACTTGGTCCTGCCTTAGCATGGGGACTGGACTTGATACCCTTTTCAGGTCCCTTCCAGCCCTACATTTCTAGGATACTATGAATCAGAATATTTCAGGACACATAGCTTGCAGAACTAGAGCTAAGACAGAAGCTATCTTACTCGTGTACTGGTGAAAAGAAATATAAAAATATGTACATCCCATGTGTTGGAATATCAATAAAATATACAGAGATAGGAATGTGTCACAGGAAAAGGCTGCAGTGAAATATTGCCATTTGACTGACTGCTACATTTAAAAAAAAAAAGGAAGAACTTGTGTAAACATCATAATTAGGAAATGCACTGTGGCAGTCTGAAGATTGTTCTATTTTTGAAAATATTTTGACATTTAAGAAAAATGTAGGAAGACCATGGTATACAAGTAGGCCTTGATATATAGAATAGTGCAGATGACCTAAAAAATTGGAAATATTTGAGATTTTTTTTTGTA